CTCTACGCCTGCATCCCACCCGAACAATTATGTTCAAAGGATGTCCAGATTTCTGTATGCTATTTGCCAATCCTACCTAGATCTTAAAAAAACAAATCTCAGCTTTACCTCTAGAGGAAAATCACTGGTTAATGAAAATGTCATTTAGGGTTGTATTTGTTTTTTTTTTTATTATTGTTGTTGTTTCTTATTGAGACCGAGTCTCACTCTGTCACCCAGGCTGGAGTGCAGTAGCACAGTCTTGGCTCACTGCAACCTCCGCCTCCCGGGTTCAAGTGATTCTTATGCCTCAGCCTCCTGAGTAGCTGGGACTACAGGCAAACACCACCACATTCAGCTAATTTTTGCATTTTTAGTAGAGATGGGGTTTCACCATATTGGCCAGGCTGGTCTCAAACTCCTGACCTCAGGATCTGCCCACCTCGGCCTCCCAAAGTGCTCAGATTACAGGCATGAGCTACCACGTCCAGCCAGAGTTGTATTTGTTTATTATGAAGGGGCAATAATGGAAATTTTTATTTTGATTTATTACTAAGGCAATACCTTCATTATTAGAACTAAAATTCCATTTCAAGCTATGTTTCAAAGAAATTATATTCTTGAACTGGCCACTTTCATAGGTGTTCTGAAAGTAATATTTTATTATAAAGCCTTGGTTGGCCTCCAGTATTAATTAGCACAAGGATAAATTTATTTTCAAAAGAAAGGACATTCTTTTCAGCCTTCAAAATGTTTTCATCGAAAATCATTACACATCATACAAACAACATGCTCAGTGTAAACATTTAAACAATTCAAAGATAAAGTAGAAAGTCAAAGTCCACCTCTTTACTTGCCCTCTAACATGTTACCACTTATGCTTAATCTATTTTATTTTTAAAAGGGAGGGGAAATCATATCATAACGACTTTAAAAGGCCTTTACAACTTCTTTGTACTTACACACAGACACACACGGGGCAGGGAAGGGGAGGGCGGGGAGGGGCAAAGACAGGAACAGACAGACACATAACACTTCAATGTAAAGGCTTATTAGAAAACATTTAAAAAAAGAGAAAACAGATGGGTGGGAGATGGGCCTGCAATTTCAAGATCCAAAGTCAAAAAAATTTATTAGGAGATAATTTAGAATGTCTACTTGTCAACCCTATTTGGGGAAAATATTGATTTGATAAAAGGTTACAGACTAACATCAAAAAGTAGCTGCCTTTTGAAAGCCGATCAACTTTTCGGTTTTACGAAAAACTAAAATGCTACAAAACACTGACAGTGAAACATACAGAGAACTTAAGAAAAATCAGAGCCAGCAATCTGGATGAAACATGACATTAAAAGCAAGAACAGGCTGGGCACAGTGGTTCACACCTGTAATCCCAGCACTTTGGGAAGCCAAGGAGGGCAGATCATGAGGTGAGAAGTTCAAGGCCAGCCTGGCAAAATGGTGAAACCTCATCTCTACTGAAAATGCGAAAGTTAGCCGGGCATGATGGCACGGGCGTGTAATCTCAGCTACTCAGGGTGCTGAGGCAGGAGCATCATTTAAACTCCAGAGGTAGATGTTGCCATGAACTGAGATTGCAACATTCACTGCACTCCAGCTCTGGGCGTCCAAACAAGCCTCCGTCATCGGAAAAAAAAAAAAAAAAAAAAAAAAAAAAAAAGCAAGAACAAGGCACAAAGCTTTATCTTCTCTTAGCCAAGATAACTAGGAATTGCAGAGCTAGTCCCACATGTCATCAGAAAGAGTACAGAGGCATCCCTGTAGGCAGTAGCTGCTACAAAAAGGAGACCATGCACGTTTATCCAGGAACTGGGATGCACAGTGCACTGCATGGCCTTTCCATGAAGGACCTTGACTAATTTGGCAGTGCCCCCAGCAAAGAGGAATTCTCAAGCTATCAGTGCAGCTAACTGATGCACAGAAATCATCAACCGGAGCTCTGGGGGAGTGGGTGGGGGGGGGGGAACACACCAAAAACAGACTCCTTCTCCAAGCTAAGTATGCAACTCAAGAAGCCAGAGACTGCTTTTGAATGTATTTTTAAAAAGCCGGAGGGGGGCAATTATACTTTAGTGTGGGTGTATTCACACACACACATCTTTCTAGAAGAGCGGCTTCTGGGAATCAGGATGTGTGACAGCAAAATGTTGTTCTAGCAAGTGACAGCTTCCTAGAACAAGCCTTCTTAGCATATACCAGTTAGCAAAACAAACAAAAATCCTTGTCCTCATAAAGCTGACACTTTAGCTGGGGCACACAGAAAAGAAGATAAGTAAAATACAGGTGAGAAGTTGAAAAGTACAATGGAGAAAAATAATGCAGTAAAGGGGCATAGGAAATGTAGAGAGGAGGCAGCTGGGTATTTTTATAAGCTGTACCAAAAGGCCTCACTGAGAAGGTGATAGCTGAGTACAGGCCTGAAGGAAGGGAAGGCACAAGTCTAAGTCCACAAGGCAGATTTTAAAAAGTTTAGTTCCAGGCTAGAAAATTTACCCCATGATATAAACAAGAAATTCAAAACGAGTTAACTTTCAAAATACCCCTATCTCTACCCCTCCACAATAAATTACCAACTAAACCAGATGACAGTCGCTGAAAAAGACAAGTAACCAGAAAAATCTCCTATGTGATAAGTAAAGCAATAGAGTCCAGTCAGGAACCTCCTTTGCTTAGTTACCAGAGCTTCTACTACACCAGCCAAGGATCTCACTGGTACCCTTGCACACATACCAAAGACTCCCATGTTAAAGCACTGCCTTACTCTGCACTTGGCCTTCCAGAGGTACAAGAAGGTCTTTCAAGGACTCGACTCCTTTTGTTACCTCTACTGTGATGAGGCAGCTCACATCAGCTGCCTGACTAAATTCAGGTGGGGAACAGAATGTTCAGGTCAATGGGATGTGAGAGTTATCTGACCTCTTAAGTATTTTCCTCATATGGAAAATACTGGGATGTGGGTAAGAGAAGAGATGATTAGTCGAAAAGGAAAGAAAAGCTAGGTACTAGGTAGGACTCCAGGGCCAAAGCTAAGAGGTCAGGACTGAGGATTTGGACCAAATTAGTGGAAAGGAGCAGAGCGTAATTCCCATTCTGCTTGGCTTGGGTAGGCAGGGCAAGAGTACTTACATTGACATATATAAAAGACTCAAAGTCACGGGAAGAAATGTGAACTAGAGTTCAGAAAGGTAAGCTGAGGACAATGTACAAGGATCTAGTACAAACTCAGAGCTCCAGGTTGTCATACAAGTTCAGCGACTCCATGAGAGTAACTGCCTGTTGCCCATCCTAATTTAAAGACCTTACCAGTAAAGGTGTAAAGGCTTCCAGGCACATCCCTCTGCACCAAGAGAACAGACTTTGTTGGGATTTGTAACTGAGGATCACAGTTAGGACACGGGGCATCCTTGTTATATCTGCCTCTTCCCTTATATCTGCTTGCAATCTCCTTCTACTTATATGTTCTTTCTAGATATATATGAAAACACAGTTATATGAACACACAGCCCTCAAATTTTAACCCTAAAGAGTTCCTAATATAGGAAGTATTAAGTTTATAAAAATTACCTCAATTCCTTTCCTAATGAGAACTGGACTGATTGATTATACCTGAGTTAAGAAGCAGTTTCTCCCTATCACCAACACATAATAAATTTTCAGCAATGGTGATACTGGATGGCACCTGCTAGAGAACACCTCAAGTTCCAGAGAAGACTTTCCGATATGATATACATCATAGGAAACAAAATGACTGGAACTTTGGGTCCCAAGGACGGATACCTAATACTCTTCACAAGAGAAAACAGTATCTATCCTGACAGGCTGCTTTTATTTTCTGTCCATAAAAATTTGGAAATAATATACCTAGGGACTCTCTAGAATCTTTAAATCCTCTAATTTTCAACAGCATTTTTTTTTTTTTTTTTTTTTTGCCAAGTAGGAGGATAAATACAGCTTTCAACGGTCATAATCCAAGTTCTTAAATAAGTCATCATTTACAAAATTTGGTAGCCGACCAACATAAAAGCAATATACATAAAATGGCACAGCAGTAAAAAACTGGCAATCTGCTCCAATACCAGCAGGTCCAGACATTCAAACTGCTTTATAAACTAACAATTTTTTAACACTACCTATACTAACAAAGTAGAAAAATGTTGTATTACAATGCTGGATTTAAAAAAAATGTTTCAGTAAGAATTCTATCTGTCTTATTCTCTAAAGGAAAACAGCTAAAAATGTTGACAGTTTAGGACTTCCCTCTAAATGTGTCCTTTTTTGAATTCTGATGAAAATTGGTCAACGGTGAACTCTGAAGCAAGGTCAGTTAGGGAAAGAAGCTCATCTCCAAACACAAATCAGTATGTCTTCAGATGATGAGATTGCTAAGAGACGACCGTTACTTTATTAGCCTTTTCTGGTGATGCAGCAATGACTTAATGACTTTGTAAGAATTTTTAAAAAGTAAACATTTTCTTCTTAATTCTGTTCAAGTTGTAAATGCAACAGTGATTAAGTATTCATTCCATCACGAACTGCAATTTGTTAACTTGGGGAAGAGCTGGGTTTATGAAACATTTTGTAAGCTTTTCCATCACAGATACTGAGGAATGTGTTACTAATTATGTTTTACCTTTTGGTTTTGCCACTATGAAATCTCAGAATCAGAGTTGCAGTCCCACCATAGTAACCTTGTGAGCACTTCTAACTTCCACATATATTTTAGTTTTCCCAAAATCTCAACGCTGCCATCAATATTTTTCCTGATCCTGATTTTTATCTTTCAATTTACAATGTTTTATTTCCTTTTTGTTTACTTAGGTTCAAATTTTTGTGGAATATGCAAGATATAAACAAAATGGGGTCCCTAAGTATTTAAAAGATCTGACGACAATGGTTATATTATCCTGGTTCACACTTCCTGTCACCCTATACTAATAAACACACAGAAAAAGTGTTTAAAAACTAGGAAAAGCTAGTAAGGATCCCATTCAAATACTTACCAGGAGTAATTGTCTCCAATGTATCAGAACTGACCTTCCGAGTACTTGCACAGTGATGGAGGTTGGAACCCGAAAATACCAAGTAAAATACTACATCATCTTCAACTTTGTCCTCTTCAGCAAGCAACACTGTAACAACACAATCGCCCTAGGAAGGGAAACAATACAGCAAGTTTACATTAGTAAGGTTCCTCTTCACAGCCTTCATGAAACGCTGTATTTAAGGGAAAGTCAAATATATCTAAACTATGCCCCCATTCTAGTAGGTTGAAACAAGTATAAACATTGAGCACTTATGTTCCAGGCAATCTTCTAGACATTCACAATACAGAAAGAACCTGAAAATAAGGTCGTGCTCTCTTCTTTAAACTTATATTTTAGTGGAGGTGATTAGACAAGTAAGTTAACCAAGATGAAGGCAAAATTTACTTGATGAGTGGGTTAAAAAGGGGAGAGGGCAGGGGGAAACAGAAGAAAATCCAAAAATAAGGCAGAGAGGATGGAGGGGATATAATAAATGGACACATCCTCGTACTCAGAATGTTCCTTAACTGCTGTGTTCCAGTTGACAATAATTCTCTACAGTCTATGCCCCATAGATCATTACGAAGTCCATATATTGTCCAGCAAAGGTGGAGAGACTCTAATAGGCTCTCCTGGAAATGGCAGAGTGCAAAGAGGATGAGCTTGGGCTCCAGCCTAGGTGCATAGCAGGCTACAACATCTAGATTTGTGGAAGTATACGCTATGATGTTTGCACAATGAACAAAATCACAGAATGCTACATTTCTCACAACAAAGCCCCATAATTTAAACAACACATGACTGTATAGGAAAACTCCTGGAACATGTTCAACTCTCAGCCTGTGATTTTTTTTTTTTTTTGGAGACACAGTCTCGCACTATCACCCAGGCTGTAGTGCAGTGGCACAATCTCAGCTCACTGCAATCTCTGCCTCCTGGGTTCAAGTAATTCTCCTCCTGCCTCAGCCTCCTGAGTAGCTGGGACTACAGACGCATGCCACCATGCCCAGTTAATTTTTTTGTATTTTCAGTAGAGACAGGGTTTCACCACGTTGGCCAGGATGGTCTTGATCTCCTGACCTCGTAATCCACCCGCCTCAGCCTCACAACATGCTGGGATTACAGGCGTGAGCCACCGTATCTGGCCTGCCTATAATATTTTTAACCTATTACAACAGAAGGCTGCTTTTCTAATAATTTATATTTTCTGACCATCTGGCATCCCTATTCTTCTTTATCCACCCCTACATTAATCCCACGAAATCAAACAAAAATCTTGGGTCAGTAACTCTATGACTTTCCAACTATCAGAAGGTAAGACATCTTCGTCTTTTATTTATTTATTGTGAGAAAGAATTTCCCCCTTGTCACCCAGGCTGGAGTACAGGGGTTTGATCTTGGTTCACTGCAACCTCCGACTGCTGGGTTCAAGCAATTCTGGTGCCTCCGCCTCTCAAGTAGCTGGGATTACAGGCATCCACCACCATGCCCGGCTAAATTTTTTTCTATTTTTAATAGAGACAGGGTTTTGTCATGTTGGCCAGGTTTGTCTTCAACTCCTGACCTCAGGTGATCCGCCCACTTCAGTCTCCCAAAGTGCTAGGATTACAGGAGTTAGCCACTGCACCTGGCTGCAAATATTCTTTAGTAGTTTTTACAATTTTTTTTTTTTTCTTCTTAAATCAAGGCCAGTGGCTAAATATATTCTATGAAATACAGTCCTAATTATTAGCATTCTCCCAATTACAAACTATATAATTCCTGTTGTAACCATAACAAAAGATTGTAAAGCATCAAGGTTTAAAGCACTGAGATTTAATATTATATAAATCTTAATAATGCACTACAAAAAAATCAATTTAGAGAAGGCCGGACCATTTTAGCATCATAATCAGGGGAGTTAATTCTCATTACGTACAGAATATTTTTCCTTTCAATTTTAGCAACAATTACAGCCAACAAGAGAACCATACCACCCTATGGTCACAATTTACTAAGCCTGGCAGCATAACTGAGCAGAAGGCACTTTTTTATTAAACACTAAAAAGCAAAAATCGTCAATTAAAACCTAGGAACCAGGTCTATTAACAAAAAATTCTCCAGTGGGTCCAAGACTACTACTAATATGACGTCACAGTGCAGCATTCAAAAGTATCCTAATCCAAGGAACATCACAGCTGGTAAAACAGAATTATCACTGATTTCAGTTACTACTAAGAATTATACTTTTGTCTTGTTCATAAGACTGTTTCTTGGAAACATTTTCAAAAAGCTTAGCCTGGTAAAATGTATAATCTCCTTTGGCATGATGCAACCAGTTAAAAAGGTGTTTACAGCATGTATGAGAAGAGCTCTTTCTCAAGGTACTGAAATACCCTCATAACCTGAAAAAAGGACAAATGACAAGTTCCATCCTTTGCAGCACAGGCTGGCAAACTATGACCCCCGAGTCAATTTTAATCTCTCGCCATCGCCTATTTTACATTTTGCAGGGGTGGGAGTGGGCGTTAGGGCTAGGGGCAAAAGAAGTCCTTTTAATCCTTTTGATGTGAAAATTACATAAAATTCAAATTCCACTGTCAATAAATAAAGGTTTTATTGGAATTCGGCCCATTCATCTACCCACTGTCCATGGATAGTTTGGCACTATAATGGGCCATAGAAGGTAATGATTACATGAGAACTTAGCCCACACCCTAAATTAATTACTATCCGGACTTTTTCAGGAAAAAAAAATCACTTTGATTTCTAACCTGGAATTCTAAGAATACATCTTCCTTTGCAAGATCAAGAATTTCATCCTCACGTAAGATGCAACATTTTGCTGGGAGACTCTCCGTGACCCAAGAAACTAAGTGGTGTCTGGGGCCTTCCTTTGTCTGGGGACAGAAGAGATGGCTAACATAGGCAGACCAATCCTTCTGGCAATGCTTTCAACATGTCAGTCAGTTTTAAATTGCTTTCATACCTTTAATAGTTGGGGTTTTCTGTTGCTGTTGTTTGAGACAGGGTCTCACTTACTCGCCCAGGCTGGAGTGCAGTGGTACAATCAGGACTCACCACAGCCTCCAGTTTCAGGACTCAAGTGATCCTTTCCACTCTGCCTCCCAAGTATCTTGGACCACAGGCATGCGCCGCCACTTCTGGCTACTTTTTGAATTTTCTGTAGAGATTAGGTATCCCTATGTTGCCCAGGCTGATCTCAAACTCCTGAACTCAAGCAAGTCCTCCAGCCTCGACCTCCAAAAAATGTTGAGATTACAGGCATGAGCCACTGCACTCAGCCTGTAGGTTTTTTTTGGTTGTTGTTATTTTGTAATATTAAGTCGCACTACCTTATGCCCAAAATATTCAATAGAAGAGAACACAGAAGCTCCATTCATTTCAAAGCCTCTTGAAAATTAGATTCCAAAGGCACCTGGAATTGAAAGTACTTATTTTCCTTGAAGGAGTGTTCTCTGCACACTGATAAAGTCACTGAGAGCAAATAACAAACTGCATTTCAGCCAGACTCCCATTTACTCCAGCAGAACCAGGTACCTAGTATTACTTGAGATGGTTTTGAAAGATAAAATGGGTAGAATGGTGATTAAAAAAAAACAAGGAAAAATAGATCTAGGCAACAATTTTTGTTGAGCTGCTTTAATCCTACCATCCTTGAAGAATACCCTGATAATTAATAAATTACTCTGCTGTGCCTGGGAAAGACCAGCATACAGAATAAATAGATCCAACCATCTGGCTACACAGTGAACAAGTCTGTCATGTTTCTAACTAAAATAAAACAGATCAACTTTTTAACAAGGGCAATTTTCAAGACGGTCTCAATTACCATTTTAATTTGACCCAACCTCAGGAAGAGCACACACCTACATCACCACTCTCTTCCAATAATCTGAACTTCAGAAACAGTGTGATCCCCTTACACAGATGTTTTCCATGTGTATTCATTAGTGAGAAATGTATCCCTGAAACTGACAATGCCCATTTACCACTTATAAATAACAAAGGAGAAAGCAGCACTTTGGCAGGTAACACCAGAATCAAGTGATTTAAAAAAGTAAAAATAACCAACAGAGAAATAAGCTAACATCACATTTCACATAGCACACATTAAGGACACAGCTTCATTTCCAGCGTTCCTAACTAAAATGGGTAACTTCAATCTAGTCATGAGAAAACCTCAGGCAAACTTAAATTGAAGGGGCATCTATATCAACGATGGCCTGTAACTCTTCAGAAAACGTCACTAATAAAAGACAAAGATTGAGCTACTGTTCAGACTCAAGAAGTCGACAAAGATTTGCCAACTAAACACAACACATGATTTTGAGTGAATCCTGAATAAAAACAAGTTGCTATTAAGGATATTATTGCAACGACTGGCAAAATTTGAATTAGGTTTACAGATTAACATGGGACCAGTGTTAAAATTCCTGATTTTGATATTGTGCTGTGGTTATGAAAGAATAACTTTGTTCTTATAAACTACACAACAAGCCGGGCACGGTGGCTCATGTCTGTGATCCAGCACTTTGGGAGGCTGAGGCGGGTGGATCACAAGGTCAGGGGTTCGAGACCAGCCTGACCAACATGGTGAAACCCGTTCTCCACTTAAAAATACAAAAATTAGCCGGGCGTGGTGGTGCACACCTGTAATCCCAGCAACTGGGGAGGCTGAAGCAGGAGAACTGCTTGAACCCGGGAAGCCCAGGTTGCATGAGCTGAGAGCGCACCACTGCACTCCAGCCTGGGCGACAGAGCCAAACTCCATCCCAAAAAACAAAAACAAAAATAAATAGACAACCAAGTGTTTGGGGTAAAGGGGAATGATACCTACAATTTACTCTCAAATGGTTGAGGAAAGAAATGATAAGAGACAGAATGATTAAGCAAATATGGCAAAATGTTAAGAGCTGGAAAATATGGGCTTAAGGTTTATAAGATGTAACATCTGTACTATTCTTACAGCTTTTTCACAGTAAAGTTTCCAAGAAATATCTGTTCAAATAATTTATAATATAACCAAATATTTGAAGTTAAAAGGTTTCAAATTAAGTTAGATTCCTGAGTTTATTTTTTATATTTTGCAGTCACACGTATTTTTGTAAAGACATTCTTGCA